GAATCTTCGCGGCTGACTCTCATCATCGCGGTTAATTCAGCTTTATATTACGTATCGATAAATTTTAAAATTACAAAACGTAAACGGGGAGGTCCAGAGGGAGTTACTTCGCTATATACTATGAGCTATATTAAAAGCTCGCGACGCGCCGAGATCATCGAGTTAACGCGATAAGAACTGCCGCCGCACATCGAGAGATCGATTTATCGATCGCATATAAGTAGACACGGCCTTTCATTTTCTCTCCGCTTTTCTCGCAGCTCGTCGTCGTGAACGAGCAAGGCGCGCTCGTTCGATGACAGGCTAATAGCAATGAAAAAAGCTAATAAGTCACTCATTCATCGAGGCGCCTTTGTTTCGACGGACCGCTACACCGTGGCGGGATATATATTTGCATTATGAGTCGATGCGATTCGAATTGAAATTAAATTTTTTTTTTGCTTTTGAATTTGATGTAGAACTTTGTAAATCGGATTCGGATAGCATTTGATCCTTTTACGCGGAAGTAGATTCACGTAGGCAGAGGGGTAAAAAGATTTTCAGATTTTACAATCATTTTTTTATGAGAGACCCAGAATACAGTCTTGGACTATCTGGTAAACCTCGCTTTTTCGACTTATACAATTATTTTACCTTTGCCACTTGCAGATTTACAAATAAAGGTATACTCGCTATCTAGCGGCAGAGGCTGGCACTAATTATGATTGTATTTTCATAAATTCTTTTCCAAAATAAATCGATAGTAGAACATTCGTTTTCAATCGAATTTGAGCATTCGATATTAATTTTTTCTTGTTAATTTTTTCAACAAAAATAATGTACACGACTGAATTTTCCTTTGAATGAAAATTCATTATCGATCGCTTGAATTTTGAAGCCTGAATTTCATGTAAAATCTATACATTAAATTCAATTTTATATTCGTTAAACGGCGCGGACTGCCCAATTTCTTTCACGAATTCGTACGTATTTTTAATTCTTCGTCACAATAACGTACCGATTGAATAACATCGTGCTAAATACGGGCGATTCAGCGCCGTCATTTTCGATCATCGACGCAAAGTTTTGTTTCCACGCTTCGACTTTTACGTAATAATAACAACAACGCCGACGAACGACAACAATAATCCCGTACAGCGCACAATCGAAATTTTCCGTACCTATAAATACGTACAATATGTATAAATAGAATCTCAGGCGCGCAATTTACATATGCACGCGGGCGCAAAAACATCAATGGCATCGACTCGCGTGCGTCGCGCCGCCTGCTACGATTGATTTTGAATGAAAAGTATACGGTACATGCACGCGTATACGCGTATTAATAAATCCGCTGCTGCACACGTGCGCGAGATTCGCAGTGAAAAAGCGGCTCTTTGGTCGGACGCCCTTCGTGTATGTGTGCATACAAGCAGCAGCAGCAGCTGGCACACGCGTTTCTCTCCCTCTCTTTATTACATTTTACATGCGCGCCCGCGCGTATATAAGATGAATCCGAAAATTAAAAATTTATCTCTCTCTGGACTGGGTCACACACGTGTATACTGATCGAATCGTCGACGAACGATCAACCTATAGTTCGTCCTCGAAAACGTGTATACCAAATTCCGTACAGCGTCTGTATCTAAGTGCGCGTGTTGATCGCTCCGGGGAAATCCTTCATCTCTCTCTCTCTCTCTCTCTCTCTCTGTCCGCGTGTATATTTGCTCGGCGAGTAATTATGTGCCCTTTGTACGCCGAGAGATGCTGCAGTCGTCCTGTATACACAGGAATGGGTGTATATGCAAACAGAGGAGGACGGAGAGAGAGAGAAACACCTGCAAGAGCGTTCGAGAGAAGCCGTAGTTTGCGCCGCGCGCGTGCGGTGGACGCGTGTCGCGACGACGGGCCGGTAATTACTTTGGCTGATTGCGTTCGAAGCGGAAAAGCTTTACGTTTTCAATGGTGCGTACCTGTGTGTGCGTTGATTATAAGCGAGGAAAAGTCCGCGGTGGGGGATGATGTAATATTTGTATATTAAATGTATCGATGTACAATAAATTTGAGAATCGGAAGCCGTAGGTATTAAACGTGAACAATGTATCATTGGATAAAAGCCAAGTTTGACGCGCGCTGCTCGCACACGTGTCGATCGATCCATCCGAGCTGGCGCACGTGTAGCAGTAGTAAGTTTATAAGCGTTTCAATTTGTAGGGGGAAAAAAAATTTCGATGGCTGGGTAGCATTCTTGCAACTTTTTGGCACGAGTGTAATTTTTTTCCACTTCTTTACATCTTCTTCTTACTTGTGCTCTTTTTTCGAGTGAGAGGGAGAGATAGAGAGATAAAGACATCGGATATGGAAAAAAGAAGTTACCAGCGATTGGTCGAGGAGAAAAAATTTGAGGCCTAAAAGCTCGTGTGCAATAATAATATATGATTGAGTTATTTTTTCGTATACCATCGCTTCGAGTAAATAACGCCTGACGACTGAAACTTATCTTTGCTTACGATGATATTGAAAAAATTGAACTAGTTTCGAAAGTAATTGAATGTCTTCCAGTAGATAGCCAGTTTTTAACCAGCGGTAATGTCATGGCCGTGCAATTGAAAATCAAAAAAGACTCCTTCGCATCCGACAAAGCTGGCCGCTTAGAAAAGCGTCAAGCCGGACTCTTCGCTGTTGTTCACCTTGAGCTGAACTACTCGTTTTTGAGAAAGAGAGAGAAAGAAAAAGATACAGTTAGAAAAAAGATAAGATAAAATATGGAAAATTAGTCGATGAACGGAAATTGGAACCGTCAAAGTTCGAGTGACCATCTCGTTTATCAAGTATAGAACGTGCACTTTAACTGCTTTTTTAAATGTATGAGCAACCGTATAAGAATAGCTGCAAGTTATGAAACTTCTTTATCATTTTTGCGAATGTAACTAAAATGAAAATTGAAGCACAAAAAAATTAAAGTCCAAGCGAATCAACGAATCTTATTTTATTTTTTAATATATTCGTACATAAGAAAGATACGAAAAATTTACTAAATTTATTTACATCCGGACATTGTAAAATATTTTTTCGTCAATTTTTTTTTACAAAATATCTACAGAATTTATACACATCAGACATTAAAAAATACCACAAATATTCTCATCGTATATATTGAGTAGCCGTCACGCACATATTCCACAAATCTTCTTCGCTCAGACTGCTCAAGATCATGTCGCAGATCTCCAAGGACAAGCGTTTCCTCGACACGCGCATCAACGACTCCCTCGTCCAATTCTGGAAAAATCCTTGCCGAATTTCCGTCAGATACCACACCAGCTCGTCGGCTCTGTCGTACTCTTTCGCGGCGACGAGCTGCACGGGAATGATTCCCTCCTTGTTGGCTCTCGTCACGTCGGCCTTGGCCTCCAGCAGCAGCGCCGCCGTCCTGCCGTGATCCGCGGCCAGCGCCAGGTGCAGCGCGGTGTCGCCCGTCTCCCGCCAGACGGCATTGACGTCGTGGCCGAACATGCACAGGTAACGCACGACCCGGTGACAGCCGGCCATGCTGGCCGCGTGCAGATGAGTCAGGCCCGTCTCGTCGACGTAGTTCAGCCGGATGTCGTAGACGCGAAAGAGGTCGTCGACGAGGTCGAGGTAGCCGCGCCTGACCGCGTGATGCACCGCCGTGGCGCGTTTGATAGTTCGCGGCTCGTGCCGATGGTCGTCGTCGTCGTTCGGCGCGAGGTTTCTGTGATCGATCCCGATCGCGAATCGGATGAATCGCTTTCTCGCCTCGTGAGCGTCGGCCTTGCCCTCGTACGCGCAGTGCACGCAATCGATGAGAAGCCGATCGATCCATTCGGTGGGACAGATTTTGATCGTCGTCGGGTCGGCGTACACGGGCATCGAGGCGTCGAATCTGCAGAGGAATCCGTGTCGCCACTCTTCGCTCTCCCACGCCTCGTCGGCGGGATGCAGCATACCCATCAGATACGACAGGTGATCTTCGTACATCATCGTGGGGGGGAAAAGTTTTACACGCGCGCGCTCACTTTATTTTTCGCGAAAATCGCTCGGGCGAGAACCGGTCGATGTGCTGCTGCGATCCTTCTCGATACGCACCGACTGAATGTACATCGAAGCACGATGTTGCGAGATGTCGAGCGCGCGAGACGAGCTATGAATTTTTGTTTACGTTTGATCGAGCGACTGGCACAGCTCGGAATTACACGAAGCTTCGTATTATGGTAGATTTCCTTACGAAGCTGACAAATAAAACTTCCGAAAGCATCGAGTTTTCCGTCATTACCACGTGCTCGAGAAACTTAATTATTTATTGATTGAAAACTTTTTGTAAAGTTGTAGGCTAAGTAATTAAAACGATAAAATGCTAAACGTTACTTTGTAATCCCTGCATCTGACGAAAGAAAACAATTTTGCTGAAGGGACGGAAAAAATCTTATTGGATTTTCACAATAAATAATAATTTTTAAGAAAGAGGGAGAGGAATAGACTTTGTTGAAAAAGAGATAAGATAAAATACCAACAATTCAGTCGATGAATGAGAATTTGAGACATAATTTAAGTTTTCGCACGGAGCGAGACATAATTATATGCACGTAGATCTTTCCTAAAAATTTATTGGGCAACTTAGAAATCAGGCTCTATTACATTAGTTAGTGTTAATAGGTTCTATGAGGCATAGATAATGTAAATACGTTAAAATAATGAAAATTAATCAATAAAGCGTATTAAATACTTATTATCTATCTTCGTTCTATTTGGGTAAATTTTCTGGACACCCGCTTCTTGAAAACAATGCATGTTGGCGTAAAGAAGTTGTTGGACTATGCACTGAAGCCCTTCAACATTGGGCTATTGTTAAATTACACATAAGAGCTGTTTGCAGTTCTTCAATCCGTTCGTGTTGAATACTTCTCATTGTCAGCTTTCACATGGACCGTGTGCATAAAAACTTTTCACATTTGATGATAACATTGAAAAAAATATAACTTCCAGAGTCCAAGCTAATTAATGAATTTATTTGTTTTGTTTTTTTTTTTTCATATAAATACGATACGAAATATTGACATAATTTATTTTCATCCAGACATTAAAAAGTATCACAAATATGCTCATTATATCAGAATTTTTTCGCATTATTCAATTAATGTTACTTCACTAAGCGGGCTAGTTCAGCGTACAATTCTTCGTACAATCCATGAGCCGCCACGCAAATATTCCACCAATCCTCATGTTTTAGATTCCGCACGACTATTTCGCAACTTTCCTCCGATAGCTCGAATTTCGCCATGAACTCGAGTGCGTCCCTAGTCCATGTCCGCATAAACGTCTTCGAGTAATCGAATAGATACTGCACCAAGCGATCTTCGTAGTTTCTCGCAACGACGAGCTCCACGGCTGACACTCCCCGCACAACGGGCTCCTGCATTTTGGCCTTGTTCAGTATCAGTAACACGGCCGCCTCGTCGTGACGCCTGTTCAGAGCCAGGAGCAGCGGCGTCTCGCCGGTTTCCGGCCAGACGCGTTCGATGTCGTGCTTGTGCAGAATAAAATCGCGTACGGCCAGCATGGCACCTGCCATGCTGGCCGCGTGCAGATGAGTCAGGCCCGAATCGTCCGTGTAGTTCGCATCGAACCGTACGTATATTTTAAACAGCTCCTCGACGTCGTCGTAGTAGCCGCGCGTGGCCGCGTGATGTATCGCCGTGGTGCGACGCATCGTTCGAGGTCCGCCTAATTGAATTTCGGGCTCATCCCTGTAGCCGATCCTGATCACAAATTGGATGAATCGTTCTCTTTCTTCGTAAGCGTCGTCGTACGGAGCTACAGCCGTGCCTCCGTAGGGGCAATACATGCAATCGATGAGAAGACGATCGATCTGTCCGCGTCGAAAAATTGTTTTATAACTGTCAATTTCGTTGAACGAATCGATCGAAGAGTCGAATTGGCAGAGAAATTCGTGTCGGCTTTCCTCGCTTTTCCAGTCGACGCGCCTCAACATTGCTTGTAAACTTTCCACCTGATTTTGGGCCATTGTGAATATTTTTCTAACGTGAAAAATAACGTGGTATCAAGCGGTTTATAAAATTTAAGGCGTATGGATTTTTTTCGCGAGAATCACTTGCCTCGGTCGATGTGTGCGATCCTTCTCGATTCGAGCCTGCGACGTGCGTAACGTATACGCAACTGACTCTACCATGAACTACGATATTAACATAAACAAAAATTCATAGCTCGCTCACACGTTTATAACGTACATGTTTATACAGCTCGAACGAGACACAATTACATAGACATATTACGAGTGCTAAATATCGGGGATACTTATTAAAGATCTTTTGACGGTAATAAAAAATTCATCGCTTGGAATACAACATCGAATATGCCTAATAGTTGGGGAGGTCTTAGTTTTGCTTGTGTATACTTTTATTATCGCACAAAAGTAATTAAGACAGAAAAAGGGTACAGTTACAAAAAAGATAAGACAAAATACCAAAAATTAGTTGACGAAGAAAAATTTAAACTATCAAAGCTCGTATGACTGTCGCGTTTATAATGTATAAAACGTGCAATATAATTTTTGTTTCTTGGAAACTTTTGAGGATGCCATTTCCTCGTTAAAAAAAAAATTCAATTTAAAAATTATGACTGATTTTTAAATGCAGTAAGCAGCTGTATAAGAACAAGCTGCACGGTGGTGTGAAACTTCTATATGAATATTATGTAGATAAAAGACTTAGGTACCTTGTAAACGCGTACTGAATTTGATTTTTTTCTTAAAATGATTGGGTGTGTGTGTAACAAGAATAAAATCAAAACTGCTTATTTTAAAACTATTTTATTCAAATGATATAGAAAATAAGCAAAAATTATATGAAATCAGACAGTGAAAAATAAGTACAAATATGTTGATCACCATCATTAGCTTTGACCTACAACTGCCAAGCACATATTGGATAGATCTTGATTGTTTAGCTGCTTGATGATAATTTCAGAACAAAGAATCGGAAGTTGATAGCGTGTCAACTCCAAGAAAAGATCGAGTGCCCATTGGCGAAAAAATCCTCTGAATATTTTCTCGCTCAGATGTACACAACAAGCCATTTTATACTCTTTGGTGAGCATTCGCAATTGGTACGGCCGTGCTAATTTGTAGTAGTCCTCATATTTGAGTTGTTTCGCTTGTTCGGGTCGCAATCGGATCAGATCATACAGTGACAGATTCGAATTTATCATCATCTTTTTCGCTATTATCACAAACTCCTCGTCGTCGAACAAATTATAGTTTTCGAGATCCGTCGACTTCTCAAACAATTCGTATTTGGAGAAAAATTTTATGACTGTCAGGACACCGCTTCGGTTCAGTTGGTATCCTCTTTTCTCGAGGCGCTCAATGACGATAAGGGCCCGAGATGCTAATCCTAATTTATTAGATTCTGGCGACCAAACTCTATACTCCGGGTTCACTTCAACGTTAATTTCACTGGGAAAAATGAGTTTAGACAGATCGGCACCGCGATCCAAGAGTACATCGACAATTTTCATGGCAAGGTTCGACACGGCCCATTGCAACGGGGTCCGACCGAATTTGTCAAGGAGATCGATCGACACCTTCTTCTGAGCATCGTCGGTTAACTCAAAAAATTTCCTTAATGAGTGGATGTTGCAGTCTGACGTGCACAAAGAGTGCAGAAGCGGCAGACCCCTTGCGTTGACCACTGTCGGATCGGCGCCATTTTTCAGCAGAAATTCGAACATCTCGCTGTCGTTTTTTATAGCCGTATGTAACGGTGGATCGACTGAGCTCGCGTCAGATTCTCGGGGAAGGCAATTTGGATCCTGACCGAGCTCGAGAAATTTCTCGAGCTCGTCGTAACAACCATAGAGACAGGCCGCGTGAAAATGCGTCAATCCATCTTCGTCGCTGTAGTTCACATCGAACCTTTCGTATATTTTAAAAAGCTTACGGACCAGTTCAGATCCTATAACCAAAATCTCACGGTAGTTGACGTTGACGTTTCTCGAGTAAATCGGGTCCTTGCGTCTGGCCACACGATGAACTGCTGTGGTGCGACGCAGCAGTGGCTCGCCGTCTTCGTCGAGGTCGGGCTCGTCCTTGTAACCGCAGCGGATCACGAAATCGATGAATTGTTCTCCTTCGTAATAATGTCGGTGCCATTCATCGCTTTTGCTGACATCGACGGAATCCCTCAGAAGCAGATCGATTTCTTCCTTTCGAAAAACGTCTCTAAGATCGGGTAGTCGGTGGTTCCAGTATTTGATCAAGGGCTCAAGTTGAGAGAGGAATTCGTGTCGTTCATCTTCTATCTCGCAATTGACCTTTTCACGCATGCTCTTCAATACGTCTAATTTTCCTTGTTTGGATGGGGCCATACTGTTCTACTTATTCACAAAAACACACAGCACAAAATTGAATATTTTTCGCTCTATTTTGGCGAGAATCACTCGCTACAGTCGATACGATATGCGATTTCACTTGGCTGTTTACGTTGCAGCGTCGTAACGTGTACTGAGTATAACCGACCGTTTACTCGCGTGGACGTTCGATCGAGCAACACGAACGAACACGCACTGCAGCAGCGAGGCAACGTGTATAACTGCCAGCGAGATAGAGAGAAAGAAAGAGCGAGACTACTTCGGACGTTACAAACACCGACCAACCAAAGCTCTCGAAAAGAGCCTATTCGTCTCGAGCGTCGATTATGATTATTGGTCACGTGGTACCTAGCAGAAAAAACAGGACGCTTATACATTGAGTCAAGTAGAACATGAGTTCAATTTTATGTAACAAACAAATAAAATTATCTTTTCGTACAAACAAAACATCATTTCAAATTATTTATGATTAAACTCGAAGCTACATTTTAGTTTAAAACAGTATCAGCCGTTTCTTTTGTGAAAAAGTTGCGCTGAAAGTTTTCGAAAAAGGTTATGTCAATCTTGAGTTTGAAACTGCACGAACGATTTCTGTGAGCGTAAGTCTGCATATAGGGTGACTATACCAATACCCGGACAGCTAAGAAGTGATGTTCTTTGGCCGACCATTTTCTACCCTCAAATATGTCGAAATTCACAAAGAGAGTTTGAAAAAAAAAACTGTAAACGTCGTAAATTTAAATTAAAAAGTGGCCGGTAATTGGTCTTAAGAAAAATCACTTTGCGCCAATATCGGTCCACTTTTTAATACTATATGATTCCATTAATTTAATTGAAAATTACTATATAAAACGATAATTTCACCTCATGAATAATACTTAACTCGATCATACCATTCGTATCATTTTATTATTTGTTTAAATGTTTATATGACTTGAATAAAAGTGTCCGGGTATTGGGGGGTGGCCGGATATTGGTACAGTTACTCTATTCTATTTGACAGCACTCAAACTTATGAAAATGAGGTTATGTCATACTTATTCCTTCTAACGGCTTTGATCCACTCATTCCGGTGTTAAGTCTATTTTGGGAATAAGGAAATTAATAAAATTTAATATCAGTGTTTCTCCACGTATTACCGCAGTTGATAACGCAACAATTTACATGAGAAGACATTTTTTAAATCACTTGTATTGTTTAACTCATGTATAAGCATGTATAAGCATGTAAAAGCGTCCTGTTTTTTTTTCTTGAGTCTGCCACCACGAGAAAGCAGCGCTGACGTCATATACCCCCACCATGCTAACTCTCGGTCCGAATACGCGAGTACAAGTCCCGACGTGTCTATAAAGCGTTTTCAGATTGTCACGAAGTGGTCACTTTACCGACCAGCTGATTTGCCTGGAGGAATAACAAACCGCGCGCCCCTATACTTCCCGTGTTAAATTAGCTTGTTAAAAGTAGTTGTAATTAGTTTATAATCAAGTAAAAAAATAAAAACAAAAAATATCTGGAGAAAGCCGAAATCCTCGTGTATCGAAATATCGAAGCGGTTTTTAATTAAAGTCTTTAGTTTGTAAATGAAAAAATATTGAAATTTCAGTTTTTTTTTGTCTGTGATATTGTCAATAAACTCTAATAAAAAAGTTATTAAAAAGTGGTTTTTTAGGCTGTAATACAAAATCTCAAGCGGGGAAGTTATTATTCTTTCAAATTACCAACAATTATGAAAATCATCTCGCAATCGTCTTCCAACCCAAATCTGCTGTTGGTGGAAAGATAATATTCTTAAATACGATTGTTTCTTAGTTTTTCGTCGGTAACTTTAAAGAATCAAATTTCCCTGCTTGAGAGTTTGTATTGCAACCCGAAAAAGCAAATTTAATAACCATTTTAATACAGATTATTGACAATATCTCAGACAAAAAAACTGAAATTTCAATATTTTTTCATTTACAAACTAAAGACTTTAATTAAAAACCGCTTCGATATTTCGATACACGAGGATTTCGGCTTTCTCCAGATATTTTTTGTTTTTATTTTTTTACTTGATTATAAACTAATTACAACTACTTTTAACAAGCTAATTTAACACGGGAAGTATAGGGGCGCGCGGTTTGTTATTCCTCCAGGCAAATCAGCTGGTCGGTAAAGTGACCACTTCGTGACAATCTGAAAACGCCCTATATAGAAAGAAGTCTCGTTTCAAAAAAAATTCACTCGTCGATGCTTGCGAGGTTATACGGCTCAAAATAAGACGTATCATGTATTGGTTTCAATCAGGCAGGACTAAAATCTACTGTAATACGTGCATTCGCGTTATTGTACGTCATTGTTATTATCATTATGTCAGCTAGATCCTATGCATCAAATTGAGACTTACACGTATATAGATATGTAGTACGTGCTCGCAGCTCTTAACGTTTCGGATTACCAGTGGCAATTTCAATCAACTAGATTATAAGGAGCCCCTAGTACCTATATAGGATGTACGGGACTCCTTTCATTTCTCTTGGTGCTTACACCTACACCACATCTATGCTCTTATAAAAGATCTCGTTTTTCTTCTTTTTCTTCTTCTATTTTGTTTTTTTTTTTTACGCGTTGTTCTGTTTCGTCGTCAAGGTGAGGTCGAGACGAACACGTAGCACACACACACACATTTATATACACAGAGAAGGTTTTGATAAGCCGTGTGTAGAGCTGTGTATACATGGGAGGCAATGTTTGAATTAGCTTATATATATATCACGCTCGGGCGAAGGTGGATCCGAGAGATTTTTTAATTGAATCTTACG